TTCCCTGCCTCCTCCGTGTGTGTTCTGCATATGGGTTTGCTCCTTCCTTTGTCCTTCAGCAATCGTGAAACAAAACAAAAAAATCAAATGTGTTTTGTATCTGTCATTGTCTTTATAGATATAAATTTGTTACAAACACTTCAGTTTTGTCTTGTGACTTAATCAGGCACTAACTTAAAATACAGTTGTAGCCAAACACGTTTTCGATTCTAGAAGCCATTTTAAATTAAGACAGTGAGAACAATCCATGTTACTTGAAAGTAATCACGGTTGAAACAAGGAAACAAATTTTCAAATTGACCATGCTACTGGTCTAAGTTACTTAAAAATCCAGAGTGATGCCATGACATCAGCCTTGACATAATTAACCTTTTGCCTGATCCAACTATGAATTTATTGAAGTTAAGTTTGCAGGTCAATCTGGGTTCGAGCTTAAAGAAAATGTAGCTGTCAATTAGAAGGTGACTACAATGGTGGCACATACAGCTGCAGAGGCTATTCTTTCCTCATCGATCTTTTTTTTTTTGTTTTTTTTCTCTTTTGTCACACATTTTTTGGTTAGGCAAGCTCCTGCTTGGTAAAGTAATAACAAAGTTTAGACTAGAATATGGTATCTGACTGAGGCAAACGAGTAAACAGAAAAAATTGCTGCAGATATGAAAAATTTGAACTCCAAAATACATAAATGGGATGCAAAAAAAAATGAAATTAGAGAAAAGAATTAGAGATACTGTCTTTCATGTCTTTTGTAAACACATGACTAAAGTTAGATACAGCATTATTTAACAGGGGTGTGTTTACATATGTAATATTAGCCTTCTAGAGACTCTGCCTGTGTCAGAACTTCCACCCTATCCCCTCACCCCTCAATCACTATGTTGAGCGAGGGCTATAAAGTGGACGTCATAGTGAACTTGATTAACTGGTCGTTCGGACGGATGATCACTACAATTCCTATGATGGTTTTTGAGGAGAGCTCTTGCAAAGCATTCTGGGATATATCTGCTCATCTATTGACAATAAATGAACAATTTTAAAAGGGGCATTGTGGGGCATTTCAAGTTCACTACTTTTTCATCCACAAGACCAGGGGTGCTCAAATGCAGTCCTCAAGAGCTACCATCCTGTAACTTTTAGATGAATCTCTTCTCTAGCACACCTGAATCTAAAGCCTCAATCCCCTCCTTTAGCTCAGCAGAGGCGTCGTAACGAGCCACTCATTTGAATCAGGTGTGTTAAAAACGGTTGCATCAAATAGTTGCAGGATAGTAGCTCTTGAGGACTGAACTTGAGCACCGCTGCACTAAACAATTGGATACTCATGTAAAATGACCTAACCCCTATATAGTGCTCTATATAGGGTTTAAAATGGGGTCCGAGTGTTAACCCTAACATTTGGACACAGCCTTTGATTTGGCCTTTGATTGGGATATGCAAGTAATCACCATCTTTATATGCAACACCTGTGAGCTGGATTTTTTTCAACAAAGGAGAAATGCTCATTGACACAGATTTAGGAACATTATTTGAGAAATACAGACCCTTTGTTTACATAAAAAGAGGTTAGACCTTTGGGTTCAGCTCATAAAAATTAAAGTAACAACTTCTATTCTTACACATTTGCTTGTTTGGTGCAACATTGGTCTGTGAGCAATGCTATTTTCATTTGGTTGAAACATTTGGTATGTATGGCAAGTCTGACAAAGTAAATTAAACAAAGCAAGTCATTTCAGTTTTTTTGATGCATTATAATAGGTGCCAAGAATTAGTGATTTTTTTTTTTTGAACAAGTAAAGTTTGTGTAACACAAGATTGGTAAATCTGAGAACCTTTGGCCATAACTCTTCGAAGCAAAATATAATTCCAGAGTAGGCAAAAGCACAACAGTATTAAAAAATTTCCATACACCCAGATTCATTTCTAAAGATATAAACTGAAATCAGGCATATTGAATGATTTAAGACAAGTATAATAAACTTTATTGGTAATTGCAAATGTGCTTTACAGTAAAATTTGCTTTTAACCCATCCTGTAGGTAGCAGTGAGCAGTTTGCAGCACCCGCGGGGTAACAATCTTTCTTTAGAAGTGGCATCTATGGGATTTCAAACCAGGTACCAGCAGACTTCTCAGAACATGACAGCTCTGCTCGGTTCACCAGGTTACACTTCCCACAACTTAGAGAAACATTAAAGAGTTAAATAGTAAGTTCAAACAACAGGTCTTAATGTCACACGCTGCAGAAGAAAGGTAGGTCTTTGTCATTTTTAACATATTCGCCTTTAACCAAGTACAAATATTTACTGCAATAGAGTTTTTGAAGAAAACTTAATGATATTAATTACAAACTGTGCTTTTTGTAAAAAAAAAAAAAAAAGGTCCTGAAATAATACACTTGTTGAAAAGCCTACCATCATTGCTATCAATAGAAAGAATTTGAGGCCTTTTTTTTTATGTTATTGAGTGGTGATGAGTGGTTTGAGGCGTAGCTATTAATTACATTTTCAAAACTACAAACCCAGTCAAATTTATAGTTCTTTTAAAAATAGGATAAAGCACAAACTTTAACAGAGCAAAATAATTATACAAAAATATTTTCAAAGTGGGCAGCAAAAATAAATCCAACCTTGACCTACAGAGACAATACATGCTCACTAAAATGTTACTACTGCCTAGGATCACGCACAATTAAGTCTATACAGATATCCTAATTATTTAATGAGGCCTAATGAACATTCTGTATCCATCTGGACTTACACTCACCTTCTACAGTTATATACACTTGACCTATATCTTAATAAGTGCCTTTCTTTTGGTCATTTTAACATCAGTAGGAGAACTATTTCATGTTTTGAAAAATAAATTATATGGTTAACTGATAATGGCTCTGCCATAAACATAATCTTGGAGAGAACAAACTGAGGTGAAATGATCATTCAAGAAAAACAGTAGAGTTTAGAATTTGATGCAAATGCAAAGGAAAGAAAATGCAGTCCAATTTTAAAAACCTTTTTCCAGACTGAAGCCTGTCATTGATTGCACCGATCCACACTACCTGATAAAGAGGTTTTACCACCTCTTCCTTTTAAGCCATCTCACTACATCACTAAAGCCATGGGTGTCACATCATGGAGCAATGTTTACTAAATTTGACTTTACAAATGAGAGCTTTCCTTATCAAAACCCTGGACAAAAAGTGTATTTTGCTTGATTCATGCATCTCGCAGTAAACCTGATGAGTTCTACATCCCCTCCCTGTGCTCTGTAAACAAGTGGATAGAGAATATATACACAGCAATATCTCCTTCCACAGTGTTTCTCTTATCAGATAGGGGTGATGAGAGGAAGAATGTGAGGATTCCTGCTCTAGGTGGCTTTTTTAACAGTTGTGACCCTTTGAAAGGAAAGTTGTGAAGCCTTTCCTTTGTTTAGTTCATGTCTTAGTCTTGAAAATCTGTTTTTATGGCCTCAAGAGGTGTCTAACTTTGTTCAAACTTCAGCTGTGTGATTGGAAGGCAACATTATGATTGGAGGGACTGCCTCTTTGAAGGCAATTATTTTGGTTCATAGTTGGATGAAAACAACTATATTTCACAACGGATGAATACTCTGTAGTGCTAAAGGCATCATTTCATGAAATATTTGAAGTTGGTTTACTTTGAAAGGTTTAAAAAGTATGATATAGGAGCTTGAAAGTTCCAGATTCCTGTGAATATGAAAATGCTATTGCTATTTTTTTTTATAAAGCTTATCAGTATTATTAATACCATTTTTTTCCTGTGTATTTTTTGCATCTCTTTTTTTCACTCTGGACACATAACTCAAAATAGTCATTAGTTAATTAAAATAATTAAAACCTTTTTTTTTTTTTCTATAATAAATAAACATGGACTTCTATTTGCCAATGTGGCAGACACAGTTTCAACTCCAGTAAAAAAAGCTTACTAGAAAGTTGGAGGTGTGCAGGCTTCTCTAATGCGAGCAGCTGTCTTCTGTCCATGCCATCTACTGGGCTCTGGAAACAATTGACGTGATGATAGGCCTCTGTTAATTGAAATTGCTTATTTTGGTTTCAACTTGAGGCAACGTGTGGAGCAAATGTGTCACCGTGTTATATACTTGAAAGCAATGACAGCTCAAATTGAGAGCGATTGTGTTGTAGCCTTTAACCAATATTATATACCAATATATAACCAATTTCTTTAAAATTCTAGGCGCTAACACATCAAGGGCAAGTTTCAATGGCTGCTATCAGTCTGCTCCATGCTCCATGCATGTGCTGCCACCATGATGTCCCCACAGATGTTTTGGCATGCTAAAAATATTCGGTACAGTGAAACTTTCTGGACTCGCCCATGAGCCTACAGAACCATCCATGGTGTAGTCTTAATCTAAATTGAGACAAGCCTTACACTGTATTTGAAAAGTAAATGTGCTTTTACAGCATAAAGAAAATACTTAGAATCATATATAGATGCAACATTTACATAAGATTTTTTTTACTAGTGTCAAAGACAGTATAACAAATGAAATTTAATGGCTGGACAACTTATTAAATGTGGTTTGTCATGTGACAGCAATACCTCTCACATTCCCACCAAAATAAACCATGTGTCCAGATCAGAGTTTCATGTGACTAAACCTGAAAGATCCAAATGAAGGATAAGTAGGCTAAAGGAGGGAGGGGGGACTTTTACAAGCAGTTGACCTCATTACTGTATAAAACTAAACCCTCTAAAAATAAAAACATGATAAAACGTTACTTTACAAAATGTACGGATCTAATGACAAAACACTTCATACAAGAAAACAACTATTACACCTTAGACAACAAATGTCCTAAAGGGTCAAAAATAAAATCTGGAAAAAAGGTTTTGTCAGCTGCTCAAGTTCATGGTGAATTTTCTCCATTTGTGTAATTCGGTTCTTCCAGCAATCAAAGAAGGCTTTCAAAGAAAGTAAACATGTTTTTGAAATTGTCTCCCAAAAAAGTTTTCTTTCCCTCATGGATTGACATATTTGCTAAATTTTTACAAAGAACATAATTGACCACCAACACGTGTCTTTAGACAAAGCACTTGTGCCTTTGAAGTCTGCTTTTTTTCAGAACAGTAAGTTTTAAAAAATTACAATAAACTATATCTCAGCAGAGAGATCATGAGAACATTCATATGACATAACTGTTCTTATTTTCAGGGTGCCCTCAACGCACACCCTTTAATCTAATAAAAAAATAATAAAAAATAAACACATTAATTTTTACTGCTTTGGTTTACTCAGATTCAGGTTGACAGATCTAGTTGGAAAACATGTTAAAAATTGAGCCTCTTGTGAAAAAAATCCTTCAGTTGGAGCAGGTGTTGATGTTCTTGCCATCAGCTGCGTCCTCTACCAAAGCTAAGTGATAGTCAGTGGAGAGCGTGAAATGTGACACGCAACCCACCAGTCCCCCCAGGTACTGTCTGTTTGTTTGAAGGGCGATCTCTTTCATGCCACCTATAGTTAAAATGTGAATTAAAGCAAGTAATAAAAGGGGAAAATATTGAATTACAGGAAACAATAGTGATGTTGAGAGGATATACACCACCTACCCACATATAAGGGTCCATTTATATTTAGTTGTCTCATCTTGCCAGGTGCCCTTCCTGTCTTGGCTCCGTAATCATCAACCGTCAGCTTTCCTGATTGGCCATCTCTAAAAAAAATAAATTAGCCAAACATATTTTTGAGCAAAATATGATTATGATGATAGTCAAAAATACATCAATGCATAAAAACGGTTTTCCTTATTTATATGTTACCTTACAGCCTTGACTCTGTGCCACTTTCCATCACTAAATGTTCCATTGACAACAATGTTAGCCGCACCACTGCCCAAGTTATAACTACAACAGAAATGCAAGAATACAATTTAGTAGCTGAACATGTTCTTCTGGTTTGTGTTATTAGATCTTTTTTTTTTTTTTTTTCCAAAAGTCCGTATAATTGCTATTGTTTTTATCTGCTATTATTTTGGGATCAAACTTTACTTTACAGCTAAAATCTGCTTTATTCAAATTTTCCAGATTTCCAATAAACTTACAAGTTAATCCATTTTATTTGGGTGTATAGTATGATAGATCAACGGGAATATCAAGCATTGATGATAAAACTTTTTTTTACAAACTGCAGACAGTCCAATGTTTTTATCCAGTCTAAGGAGCCAACAGCGCTTCAAACTGTTCAGTCATTCACCCTTTCACACACTGATGGTGGAAAGCCTCTTGTCACGGCTGCCTTAATGCAAACTGATAAATCGGCGCCACTAAGTCCTCTCCCCACAAACTGCTGACAAGGCAGGCACAAGACTGCGCTTTCATCAGGTTAGTTTTACACAGCCTCAGGTTGAGGACGCTGTCTATGAATACATGTCACTGAGGTTTTTGGTTGTCATGTGGAGAAAAGTAGGAGACAAAAAGCTTGTCCTTTAATCTCAGGGCTGTTAGTTCAGTCCCTAATTCCACCAATTGATTCAATTTTGGGAATACTCTGCAGTGCATCTTGGCTGTCATGTTTCACTTTAATTAATTAAGTATAATGTAATTTCTTAGAAACTTATGCTATTCATTTGAGGTAGTTCTTCTTTTTATTCCAGAAAAGCTTTGGAAAGAACACCTGAAAATGAGAGCTCCATCCTGAAGCCCCATGGAAATAAAATCACTGTTGGGTCTCATCGGACTGTCTCCACGCCAGAGCAACAAACCATCCCTGGCTGTGCTTTTAAAATGCATGAACAGGTTTGTCCTGGACCCAGACACTCTGGAATAAGAAAGGGAAAATATGCAGTATTTATTCAAATCAACAATATAATTTTCAGCAGTTTAAGACTTTAAACTGAGAAAACAAAGTAATGATACTTTAGAGAAAGGTATTAGATTTAATACCACCAACCTTTTCAGGATATCTCTGTTTTCATAGGTTAGGTAACTTCTGCCAATAAACTGGGGTATTTCTATGGCTTCAGTCACAGCTGGGAGAAATGAATTAAGTAATAACTTAATATGAACACAAGGTGGCAGTATATGCATGCATCTACTTACTAGCTAAACTAGATGACTAAAAGCTACTCTGTCAATAAGTGGAAAATAATAATGGGAGCAATGGGAGCAATGTACAGTTAATTCAAACTAAATGACGTAAAAGTTTATCTCTGTTTTTGGTGTATAGAAGAAAACTTACTGTTCAAACAGTAATTCCCACACTCTGAAGAAAGCATAAAAACAAAGAAGGTACAGAGAAATTTGAAGAAATTAGTTATCTAACAACGTACTGTATGTTGTATTATTTATTTTGAATATGATTAATCCTAAATCCTCTTTGATTTAAAACAGTTTTATTCTGCTTTTTTGCTCTGTATTTATTTATAGTGGAAAAGCAACAAAAATCAAACTTGAAGATTTATTTCTTTCAGTGATTTGATTAAAATATAGAGGTTTATGTTATCTTATCACAGTGCAATAAAATATAATGTTCTTCACCTTTTAACAATTAAAACAACCTGGATATTTTTCAGCAGCTGTTTATTTTAGCCTACTCTATCATCCATTAAAAGCATCCAACCAACATAGACCAAACAGACTTATAGACCATGGACATAATTTTTTTTATTTTTTATTGATTTTTTTTATTGATTTTTTATTGTTGCAGGATTTTATTGTTGAATAACTATTTTTCACTACAGTACACAGACAATCGTCAGGCACTAGGACCAAGCGTAACAACCTCAACACAAGCCGAAGCCCGCTTCCCTGAGTTTAGACCACCAACAAGCTCCTGATTGGCCCACCGTCTTTTCTTGTGTGATTGGATGGTCAAAGTTAGTTATATTAAAAAATACTTCCATCCCCCCACCTCTGAAATAAAAAATTTCATCCATGGATTATACATTTTATTTCCTACTACTGACCTTTCTGGCAGTGCCTTCCATCATAACCTAGAGGGCAGTCACACTCATAGTGGTCCCACTTTGGCCTGCAGGTCCCTCCATTGGCACAGGGACTTTCCACACAGGGGTGAGCTGAGTTTTCAATATTTATGCCAGTAGCAGAGCCCACAGTGATTGGCATGCTGCGGTCATTTAGGATCAGCTAGGAAGGAAACCCATATACAAAGCAGTTAAAGAAGCAGGATGTTTTGGCATGTGTGAAAGCTGACACATGTCGAAGACCAAAAGTGAGAATGAATCAGCCTTCCAACCTGTGTAGGCCTACTGTGAAATAACCACATTGAACGTGACGTGCTGACATGGATGCAGCTATAAAGCCACCAGGTTTGCTTCAGAGAATTTTAATTTTAAGAAGCATCCCAATGGAAACTTTGACAAGTCTTTAGTTCTTCCAGTTTCAAGTACCACCTAAATGCAAAGCATCCTTTAGCCAATGTGAAAGATGCTGGCTGAGCCAAAGCACTGATTTAGTTCAGGTGAAGAGTTGTGTTCGTCAAACTATAATGTTTGAGTACGATAAACATATCATGAATGCCAAATTCAAATGAGCCATTTTAATCTTGATAATTCCAAGATTACAGCGAGATTAATTTTTAAAAATTATGCATGCAGATAGATAGATAGATAGATAGATAGATAGATAGATAGATAGATAGATAGATAGATAGATAGATAGATAGATAGATAGATAGATAGAATCTTTAACTGTTGCAGAGTCACTGACCTTTTGAATTATTCCAGTAAAAGGTTTTACAACGCCTGCTGCCCTCTTGGTTTTCTCGTAATCTGGGACTCCACCAACATAGAGAGGTGAACTGCAGTTGATCTGTGTGAAGGCTCCCTAAGTAGGAGATATAGAGATGTTTGATTTATGTCTCAGGAAATAATACAAATTAAATGTTATTTATCTTCTCTTCACAAATAAGTATGCTTACATAAATACATCAGTAGGTTTTTGCTTATATAATTGGTTTAAAATATGAAATCCATTTTTAATTCATCAAAACTCAGGAATTAAGAATGTTTCACTGTATTTACAAAATACAATAAATTGCTTTATCTGCAAAGGAAGATTAAAGAAGACTAAGCAAGGCAGCTTTTGCGTGGTATATAAAAAATGTCTTTGAAACATTCAAATTCTGCAGTTATATTTAAATTTTGCCTATGAAATTAAATACGTTTAAATAAACAACAAAGATATTAGACCATTTTCTTCATTTTCTTTTAGTTCAATCAGGAAACAGAAGATTGATGATATGCAAACTTTTTAACTCATGTTGCATTGATGCTTTTAGAAGTTTGAAATTAAAAACCAAATAAATTATCTCTCCGACACATACTTTTTCACTCAATTAAGTTATTTGAGAAATACCTCAGCAATTCCCTCAGTTGGCTTTTGGTTGTCTACTTGCAAGATCCCACTTTTAGCAGTGCGAGATACTCTCAACTCATGCCACGAGTCCAGACTTATTTGTTCCTCACTCCTGCACCACAGATAAATACACACTTATAGTACGAAATCAGTAGCAGAAGGTGACAGATAAGGAAACAAAAGTTCATTTTAACATTACCGTATTACAGCTTCTCCAGAACCACAGTCGAATCTGAACTCCACATATCTATCCACCATGTTTATAGCCAGGAAATCTCTACTGCCTGCATCATCACTATACAGTAGCACCCCACTGGGCACGGATGGCCAGAATGTCACCTCAAACTCCATGAAGGAGAGGTAACTCTGGGGGGACTGAGGCCACGGGAGGACAGCATATGAAAACACAGTTTCATTGAAAAGTGGTGAAGACAGAGAGAAACCTGAGGGATTAAAAGAGGACATGAGAAAATAACAGCTAAGAACAAAGAGCAAGAGCTGGAAAGAAACATAAGCAAACCTTAAGATTTAAAAAAGGTTTAAAAAAGTGAACTGAAGGAGAAAATCAAGTATGTGAAATGTGCTGGATGAAAGAAAGTGAAATGGTGAATTGTTAGAACGTTGCTCTTAAATGCAATCAATCCCCTAACAATCATGTTCAAAGTAATAATCCCTATCTCAGTTCATTTTCTTCAATTTGCTCCTGAAATGTGGAGTAATTATATAAAAAAAAAACCAACATGACAGCTGTTTTGTCCTTTTTTGTTCTTTTTTTTCATTTTAAAAGATCATTAAGAGCTTGCAGCGTAAATAATACCTGTGTGTTCTTTATGAAAAGAGCAATGCTGTTAACTCACTGTCTTCACAAAGAGCTCCCTTGAAGCCAAGTGGACAGAGGCAAATGTAGCCATCAGCGCGGTTGGCAAAGCAGGATCCACCATTGGCACAGCTGACCTTGTCACACACACTGTCGCTGCACTCACCTTTCAAATAAGAACAAATGCCTTCATAAATCATTACATTTAACATGAAAAAAAAAGTTCCGGTTTATACTGGAATTAAAAGATTGGATAATTCACTATATTTAATTCTTTTATCTTTATAAACTTTATTTAATATCATATTTTGGTATCAATGAAAAAGGAAACAATTATTTTGTTAATCAGATTTATTATGCTCTGTGTACATTTGGTGGGGAGTGGAGGCCTAGTGGTTAGGGCATTGCACTTGGAACTCAAAGGTTCTAAATATAAGCCCCACTCCCACAGACTGCCACTCTGGGTCCCTGAGAAAGACCCTTAACCCCCACACTGATCTGCACAATGGCAGCCCACTGCTCCCCCAAGGGATGGGTTAAATGCAGAGTGTGAATTTCATTGCTTTGTATTTGTAACAATGTAATGACAGTAATGTTTCATGCTATTCTATTCTACATCAAATCTACTAAATATGTATTATCGATAGATAGCAGAAAAACAACACTTTTTTATCTCCATGCAAATTCTTTTCTTTAAAATGTATTTTCTTACATTGTTTTTTAAAAATAAATGTTGCTTTTATCCTTAAAATACTATTGATGATATATTAATCTTTAGATGATGTGATCGATTTTTAAACAAAGTCTATTTTTAGTTCCTAAATGAGGTCCTTGCTATTGTTTCATCCACAGATATCTGTTCAACTATTACAGTATACAGAGAAAAATATATAAACCGTGGTGTAGATGAAGAAGCAGACAGGAAAAGAAAATGAGGACACTATGCATCCCTCACCTATATCAGCTCCACTCAGAGCTTTGCCCACAGGCCACGGCCTGATGTCTGTAGCCATGCTGTTGATGGTCAGACTCTGGATGCAGCCTACAAAGCCACGGTTTGTGCCTGTCGCCCTGACCAGCGAGTAAGTGTTCGGAGATCCACCCACATACAGTGGTGAGCGAAAAGTAATCTTAGTGTATTGACCCTGAAAAAACAAAATTAAAGAGAACAATTTGTGCCTCGTCTTCTTTCACAGTAAGGACAGAATAATTTTTAAGGACAAACTAATTTCAAAGAATCCAATATTTTTTAGCAACTAATGACAAATCTGTTGCTTTTAACTCTGACAGCAAAAATTGGCTTCATCAGTGCATTTCTTCCAGGGATACATTATATGCAGTGCCTCACAAAAGTATTTGTATGCTTTTCTTCTTTTAAATCTTCAGAGAAATATGTTAAAGACAAATACAAAGTAGTGGATTTATGATGTGCAAGGAAAATAAAGCATGATTTTTAAAAGATTTTACACACGTGAAATAAAAACTCTGGGAGGCATAAATTTAGAATCTGACATTTTTCAAAACAGCACATGGGCAACTGTTCATTGTTTTTCAATTCATTGTCTAGAATTGAAAAAAATATTCATTTTGCATACCGTGTAAACAGGTTAGCAGACGATGCAGTCAAGCTGGGCCTACACTTTGTCCTGCACCACCTTTACTACCCAGCGATATATATGCCAAATCCTTTTTGTGGACTTCAGCTAAGCCTTCAACACCGTAATGCTGGACATCCTTCATCAGATGCTCACCCAGCTCACAATGGCAGCCTCTCCCAGTCATTGCATCACCAGCCTTTTTGAGTGATCATCAGCAGCAAGTAAGCATAAGGAACATCCTCTCCCGCCTAAAAAACACCCACACTTATCCCCTAAGAGTGTGTTTGCTCTCCACCCCTCTTCTCCGTGTACACGAATCACTACTAGCACTGATCTGATCCAAGACCACAATGAATATGCACTGAGACATTAAGGAGACCAACTAGCGCACTTGTGCAATCAGAACCATCAAGCTAAACCAACTAAAAATCAGGAAGGACCTCTGATCTGAAGAGCATCCCCTTCACCATCCTCAACAACAATGGCGTTAATATCGGTAAGCAGAGTATGCAGTTGCTTTGTGACCCCCGACCTTTTAGGGGCCCTGTCACTGACTCCTGGTAGGTCCCCTACGCAATTGTGGACTAGGACGTCTCTCTGCAGATGTAATGGTGCGAAAACTTCCTATTTTATCCACCTGATGCTAGTCTGTCTGACCGGACCTTATTTATACCGCAATGAACCGGAACAGGGTGTTGTACTTTGTATGGGGCCCACCAAGATAATGTTGCTTACGGGCCTATTGTTGTGTCGTTACGCCATTGCTCAACAACACTGTCCACTGTGAACCAATTCCTGTTTGTAGGAATCAAACTCTGATGACCCAACCAGGTCCTGAAATGTAAAAGTCTGCCTGAAGTCTGGCTCATCTCCAAAACAGGACAGCTTCAAACTCCAATGAGCAATTAAAACTATTTAGAGGATTACTGAGATTAGTGTTTCCACCACCTATGTCCCATGCAAGTCTAATGTCAAAATATTTTGCATTGCTCTATTACATAAATTTTCAGCAAATACATTGTACACTGTGGTTGTTGTGAAAAAGTCAAATGTTATGAATACTTTTGCAAGGCACTGTAAACAAGATTTCCGTTTTGTTAATTCTAGGGCATTTTGTTACCTGTGAGTGCCCGGATATGGGGTTATCATTGTCCATACGTAGCCAGCCACTTGTGCCATCTCTGAATATAGTAACAATGTGCCACTGACCAAGAACAACAGGACTCTGACTGATTATATGTGCAGGACCTGTGCCGCAGTTAAACCTGAAGAGCCAAAAACAAAAACCTGTGAGAACACATAATAAATATTATCTTTACAGTCTGTTCATGTGCAGTTGGCCTCATCCTTTTTCATCGTACAGTAATATAATAATTTGATTTATAAATGAACAATAATGTTTTCACCAACAATAAGAAACTGGATTTTGCGTCACAGTTTTCATGCTGCCTTTTATTTGATTTTGCAGACAGGCATGATTTACTTATTGCACCACTAGGTTATGACAGGAATTAAACCAAAAATAGCCATTCGGTTTGTTTATATTGGAAAACATATCTATAAACACATTATTATACATTACACTCACCGGCCACTTTATTAGGTACACCTGTCCAACTGCTCATTAACACTTAATTTCTAAGCAGCCAATCACATGGCGGCAACTCAG